AGGCTCACGAGCGGTCGCGGAAGGCCAAGAAGATGATCGGGCTGAAGGCCAAGCTCTACCACAAGCAGCGGCACGCTGAGAAGATACAGATGAAGAAGACGTGAGTACCCGCCGCCGCTCCTCTGGCGCCGTCCAGTCATGCTGGCGTTTGAGGGATGGGACGGGGCGTTACTGCCGGTACTAAAGAAGGAGGTGCTGCTCCCGCCGTGCGTTATGCTTTGAAGGAGCGCCCAGGTTGTAGGGGAAAGTGGGTTTTGCCACTGTGAAGGCGTTTCTGGTTGCCGGTCTTCTCCATGCATGTTAACTATCCTGCTCCTAAAAGCATTCCTGAAGACAAGTGTTAATTAGAAATAGCAGTGACTAATGTAACTACGACAAAAATATGAATGCACGTACTTAGGGCTTTTACATCAACTGCCATGTTAGTGTGGCAAGAGGCAGCAGGCATTTTTTAAACAGTGTTAGTGGAAAAACTACAGTAACGTGCAGACTCTGTGAGCAGAATGTGAGGTTTGTCTTCCAGGATAGATTACAATATCAAGTGTAGATAAACAAAAGCATTTTTCTGAAAGTTTTCTGTTGTTCACAAGTTGAAATCCAAGCTGTTAACAATATTCTTTATTGCTAATGAACTTAAATATCTATCTACCATGTTCTTTTGGTTGTTTTCCAAGTATAGACAGTTATTGTCCTCTGCTACTTGTAAAGGTATTTGGTTTATTAACTAGCTTGTAGGTCCCGTCCGTCCCCCCCCCCCCAAATGGAGTCAAAAATTAACGAAACAACCCCATGCACACGTTCCTCAGGTTTGTAAACATTGCCATCAAATCTCAGAAGAGTAGTAGTATGTTATTTTTTGTCAGAGAGGAAGGCTACTGTCTCTGAAAGTGCTTGGCTGCTTGGTTCAAGTCATTCAGAAATTCCTTAGTAAGATGCATGTTTTGTGTTCCTGTTGTGATGGGAATTGACAAGGTTTTATGCTTGTCTGTCAGATGTTACATTAATTGAAATTCCTAAGTTACCTTGAAAATTATTTAGAATTATTCCTTAAATATAAACATGTACTTGTTTACAAAGGTCTCTTAAATGAAAATTTTGAGCAGGCACAATCTATGTTAAAAGGATACATCTAACAAAGAGCCTCTCTTTTTTTCTTCCTCTACTCTTACTATTGGTTTTCTTTCCTTGCAGCATTAAAATGCATGAAAAGAGAAATACAAAGCAAAAGAATGATGAAAAAACACCTAAAGGAGCTGTACCAGCATACCTGCTGGACAGAGAGGGGCAGTCCCGGGCTAAGGTTCTTTCTAACATGATCAAGCAGAAAAGAAAAGAAAAAGCCGTAAGTAACTGTATTGAAATTCAGATATTTATAATTACTTGTGACAATGATAAATTTTCATAACTTTAAATGCTAATTAAAATTAGTAGTTATGATAGTTTAGTTGTATAAAAGCTATGGTCTACCACTGTGCTTTAGGGAAATTTTATTTTATGTTTTGGTTATCCCTTTTCATTTAGCAATGCAGCATGTAAGACTATTGACTTGGGTTTTTTTTTCCCCTTCCAGGGAAAATGGGAGGTTCCTGTGCCAAAGGTCCGTGCACAAGGAGAAACAGAAGTTTTAAAAGTGATTCGTACAGGAAAGAGAAAGAAGAAGGCCTGGAAGAGAATGGTTACAAAAGTTTGTTTTGTTGGAGATGGCTTTACTAGGAAGCCTCCTAAATACGAGCGATTCATTCGACCAATGGTAATGTTCTTGACCCTTCAAGAATGTTTAAGTTACAATTCTTTTGACTTACTGCTTTGAGTTCCTGTCGTGAGAAAACTTTCTTCTATGATAATGCACTTGTTTACTACTGATGTAGAAGATTCCTATTAGTTTCCTTGCAGAAATTAAACTTTGAGTAGCCTGAGGGTGGGGAGATGCCCTTGCAGTCGCAGTCTGTGTTGAAATATCTCTGCTCTTTCTTCTGTTAACTCAGATGATGCCAGTAAGTTAAAGCTACGAGCTGTCAAATTAGCATGGGAAGGTCTTTAACAGAGGCAGTTGGAATAGCTTTTAAAGTTGGAGGCTTCTTTTTCCAGCTGCTATGATTCAGTCAGCTGCAGAGGCCAACTCTGTTCTAGCACTCCAGAACTCTCTCTTTCTGTCTTGTTAAGTAAGCTTGAAGAACAGTCATGACCATATGCAGGGGCAATGTTGTGCCTCCATCCTCCCAGTTCTTACACAACTGCAGGACCAGTGCCTGGGCTCTAGCAGCCTGGCAGTGCACCAGAGAAGAAACTAGACTCACTAAGACAGTGTATATTTTCTAGAAATACTCGTCCCTGTTTTGTCACAGGAACCAATAGAATCACTATGCACACTGTGCAGGCTGCCTGTTAGATCGTACCTCATTACTATTTTGATGGTTATCTTACACAGAAGCCTTGAATAGATTTTTTTTTTTTTATTGACACAGAAAAGTTTATGGTACTTAATTATAAAGTACCCTTTACAAAGCACAGGTCACTAGACAAAGTGCTAAAAGAGATGGGTATTTAATATTTTATGATATGTGAAAGGTTTTCCTGTTTCACAAGAAAAAAGAAAAAAATTCTAGTCTTAAAAACCAGTAACACTGTTTAACGTGTTATCATAAATGCCTCATTTCTACATGGAAAAGAAGCCATCTGAGGTAGCAAGTATTATTCTTGTACTATTAAAAGTTGACATCTTGAAAATACACGTGGAAAGCTTTATCTTGTCATTAATTAGGTTTTTTAACAAACGTGGCGTTTTATAGTAGGCAGATAGCATTCTGTATTCTAATCTGTTTCATTCTTCCCAGTCTGTCAGAACATGTAAAGCTGAGGACAAAATGCTGAAAGTGTTAAAACTAGATTAGTCGTGAGGGCTTAAAGCAAATACTAACATTCTAACACTCCTTGTGCTACAGGGCTTACGTTTCAAGAAGGCACATGTGACACACCCTGAACTTAAAGCTACTTTTTGCCTACCTATCCTTGGTGTAAAAAAGAATCCTTCTTCTCCTTTGTACACAACACTGGGTGTAATTACCAAGGGTACCGTCATTGAGGTCAACGTGAGTGAGCTTGGCCTTGTCACACAAGGGGGCAAAGTTATCTGGGGTAAGTAGTTAAACTAGCTATACTGCAGAACTACTTTAAGGTTTTAAGTCTTCATTGCCTGATGTATTGCTAAGATCACATCCTATAATCATAATTGATCCATTGTTAAATGTTAGGTTTGGGCTGTAGCAGAAGCAACTGCGAGGCAGCTCGAAAAATGGAAACTTTTTAGGCTTTCTGTTCACAACAGAAATCAAATTAGGTGAAGTTCAGAACAAAGAGTTGACTGGCTTGCCTGTATCTCACATTAGGCAAATGCTACAAGTCTATTATAAAGACCTAACCACGTGAACTATGAAGAATTGTGTTATGTTTCAGTGGTAGTTCTATGTAGAACTATCTTCATAGGATCAGGCTGACTTCTTTTAACAGAGAGGTTGACTGGGACAATAGCAGAACTAATGATTTATTTATTTTTTTAAAATCTACCTAGAACTCTAAATGATCCATTTATAAAAAACAGCCTGAATAAAATATTTAAAGAACCTAAGTTTGCAGCTCAGCAAAAGGTAGATTTAGATTTCAAAATACATTTCAGTTTTTGAACAGGAATTCCCTAC